TTCAAAGTGAAGTGTCCGTCATAAATCTTGTTGAAATTTGAATCAATGTTGATATAAATGTTGCTAATTAACGGTCTGTAAATGATGTTAAATCACTGCCATATTGGATATTAAGGTTATACCTAAATATAAACTGATTATTGTCACGCATGTTACATATTATTGTCACAATAAGTTATATTTTTATAATTAGTTTGTGATTAATGTGTGAAGTATAAATCCTCTAATAAACGTACGCGAGGGTCAATAAGAGTTAAAAACAGTGGGTAGCTCTTCGCTTTAAATTAATCAAGGGGAACAGTGGTTTCAAAGTGAAGTGTCCGTCATAAATCTTGTTGAAATTTGAATCAATGTCGATATAAATGTTGCTATTTAGCGGTCTGTAAATTGTGTTAAATCACTGACATATTGTATACTAATGTTATACCTAAATATTAACTGATTGTCACACATGTTACATATTATTATTGTCACAATAAGTTATATTTTTATAATTAGTTTGTGATTAATGTGTGAAATATAAATCCTCTAATAAATGTATGCCAGGGTCAATAAGAGCTAAATATAGTGGGTAGCTCTTCGCTTTAAATTAATCAAGGGGAACAGTGCCAATATATCAATTTTTTATATAATAAAAATTATGAAATTAATTTGATAATTTTTAAAAATATAATTTTTAATATTTATAACCCCATAAAAATCCTGACAAAAATCACAGTTTAGTAGACATACCCCCAATGAAAACCAAGCATGTATTTAACTATGCATTTTTTATTGGGGGTACATCTAAAAACAGCTGCCAATTTTCTTATCAGAAGCCTTTAGAAGCCCTCCAGTCCAGATTTTCTGTGGCTGTTCAATCACAGACTTCAAAATGCAGATCAAGAAGAAGTATTTGCAAGGTAGGTTTGGTTTAGCTCTATTGAGCTAATCAAGTAGGAAGTAACATGATCAGTTTTCTGTTTGATACCCCCTGACACACCACCAGGCCTTTTAAAAGGTAAGAAAATGTACCTTATTTCGAGTGCTGCACAGGTCTGCGGGTGCTTTTCCTGCCCCCCATTCAACCTCTGCTGATATCAGAAATTGGATTGGCTGAAATCAGCAAGGAGGTGGAAGGGGGTGGGGCTAAATGTCGGTTAGGCCAATCAGTACCTCCTCATACAGATGCACTGAATCAATGCATCTTTATGAGGAAAGTTCAGCATCTCCAGGCAGAACAGCACTGTCCCAAGAAGCACCTCCAGTGGCCCTCTGAGGATGTAAATACTGCCTGCAGGTAATGATTAAACTGTAGTTGTTCTGGTGACTACATTAAACTGTAGTTGTTCTGGTGACTATAGTGTCACTTTAATTTATAAAAGTACCAATTTCTATTTAAATCTGCACTTTTTGTAAAATGAAAAAAAAGAGGATACACTCTTTATACATTGCTTAAGGGGGTCTGACGTGTACCTTTAAAGTCAAACACAATAAAGTTACAGTAATAGTAAATCCACCAAGCAGCAATTCACTTTAAACACAAACATTTATGTGAAGCAGCAAGGACTCACCTAAGAGGTTGGCCTTGACAAAGCAGGTGAACTTGCACTTTAATAGCCATTGGAGTGGTAATAAAATCTCCTATTATGAGCACACTGATTTAATATAGTGCGCAGGTAATTTTTTTTTTTTTTTTGCTTTTGTTCTAGTGATTCCACCACCACTGCAGACAGTATTTTAACTCTGATCCAGGAGGAACTCTAACTATGAACCAGAGGAATTACAAGAGGAGATGTGGAGAGGTCAGGTAGTAGGTCAACTATTTTCTCCAACTAGTGTGCACTATTTTCATGCATCTTCTTCAGCTTGGCCATATCTAATCTGATTTTGATTCGCCTCCAGTGGAGACAGTTGTAACATCATCTGTGCAAGAGAGTCACAAGTAGCTCACCCACTGCTACTGTTGTTACAATCAACACCACTATCACACTCACCACCGCTCCCAACACCATTTCCATTATCAGTAGCCAACCAAGTGTTGGTGAAAAGGCTATTTTTTTACTACTGATGCAAATCCACTTGCACCTTCATCAGCCACAAGTAGAAGAGTTGAGACTAATGTATTACAATAAAGCAAAGTTTGGGATCACTTTGAGTAGTTCCTAAGAGGGAACAAACTGTGCAAACTTTGCGGCAAGGAAGTGAGTACCACAGAGTGTGGGTCATCTCACAAGCGCCGGTATGTTGAACCTACATCTGATAAGATACCACATGCTTGTATTACTGAGGGAAGAAAAAAGGAAGTACTAGGTCAATAGCTAGTCCACTGGTATTGTACTTGATTTCAATACAACCACCTATCACCAGCTGCATCTCCTTTACTACTCCCATTAGGCAAAGCAGAAGGGATGTTAAGGATAGTTCCACTAGTCGACAGGGACAGTCATACTCCTTATAATCCCAGGGTTGTGTTCGCCAGCCCAGTCTTGAACATTTTTTTAAAGTTTCATTCTAGGGGCATATCAAAATAGGAGGCTAACAAAATCACAAACCTGATTGCGGAGATGATTGCTGTAGGGGGTGTTCCCTTTTCAATGATTACAGGGCATTCCTGTAAGCAACTGATTCCTTTGCTCCCTTGTGATTTACTTGCTGCAGGAAACTAGTCCCTGAACTTTATTGTTCATGTATGCTACTATTAAAGGCTAAGGCTGTAGGTCAGTGGTGCTCCTAGTAGAACCCCACAGTGTCTTGGTATAGTGGTGGTAGTGGATATTGCCCAACTTTACCAGTATGACAGGCTGGGAGTGGAGCTATAGGGTAGTATGGCTAGCAATCTCTACTTCTACAAGCTCAATGATGGACAAAAACAAACAAAGCAGCAATGTCATGCCATGCTTACCTTTCCCCAATCACTTCCTCTTCTCTCCCAGGATCTGTTCTTGATTTCTTCCTGTCTGCTCTAGTTTTCATTAAAACATAAGACAAAGTAGGGACTGCTTTGTCTTGTGTATTTTTCCTACTCTTGACCAGCTTTTACCCAGCGGAGTAGCGAAGTGTGCTCCATTTCCTGTGGTCAGAGCAATTTCCCACAATTCTCACATTTCCTCCATGTTCTCGCGATGCCTCCTTTCAGAATTCCCGAATGCCTGCAAAACTACAGAATTTCACCCTAACAGAATGAGAACAGTTCGTCCATTTGTGTTAGGATGAAATTGAAGATTATATTAGCTTTAGTGTGCTAATAATCTTAATTTTAGTAATGACAGGAGGCGAATATTTGCATATCTTTCTTTACTGAAAACTCCAGCAGCATAGAAACAGTAACAACCAATCAGAGAAAAGATATGATGCCCATAAGAGGCCCTGTCTATGACATCACTTCCTCTTTCTTTGAAGCGAAAACAATAAATAACAACAAGAGACATAATCATATTACGTCAACAGTTCAACAACATATTAGAATATCCAACTCCAGTAGTTCCGCGATGCAGAGGTATGGAAGGTGAATCTTTGTCTCGATGAGAAGACGTTCACGCTGCAAGAAAAAGAAAAAGGTGAAAGGTCTCTGGCGTGATAACTTTTCCGCATACAATAAGCATTAAGCATCTGATATACCAACAAACATTAGAATGTGAAACATATCAATGTATATTTATTCTAAAGCAATGATATTTAAGAATCTATAAACACAACATAATGCAAGGTTCATGTCTAAGATTCAACCTATCCAAGATCCACAAGATACAGGTCTAAGCAGCAAACATACAAACCATACGTACTTACCTTCCTGAACATAAAGGACATATTCTGTTCAACACGAGAAACATGGGAGGGATCCTATAGGGTGGGAAATATTCGCCTCCTGTCATTACTAAAATTAAGATTATTAGTACACTAAAGCTAATATGATCTTCAATTTTACCACATGACAGGAGGCTTAATATTTGCATTTTTAAAGCTTTGAATTGACCAATGTGAAGGAAGCATGAAATGTTTGTCGAAATAGAACGTTCTAAACGTACTTTCTCGCGCTCAGTCCGCGCAGCGTATAATGTCGGCTAGGGAAGCGTCGGCCGAAAAGGTTTGTGAGGCCGCCGCTCCCTGACCGAGTGGGCTCCGAAACAAGGTTCGACGCCCGCTAAAGACAATAGCCAGCGGACCCATCTGGCCAGTGTTGCAGTAGACACCGGTCTATGAGGGTTCACGTGAGAAGTCAGAAGGTGACCCGTCGAATGAGTTAGAAGGGGTAGAGATATCGGTGTACCCCATTAGCGTTCTGACCACGCATAGTGTGGCGTCTGACACAAAGTATCGGTATGACACTGAAGACGGATTGGACTCGAAATGGTAAAGGTAACCTGTCTGGGTGAGAGAGAAAACCATCCATATCGTAAGCCCTAACGTCCGCCACCAGTCTAAATGAGGCGAGGCATAATAAGAGGGCTAGTTTGGCTGAAAGTTTTTTCAGTGACAAACAAGGATTGTCCGGCCATACACTAAGGAATCTCAGTACCACATCCACCTGCCAGAGGCGTGAATACTTGGGTGCCGGGGTCTCGACAATTCGGCACCCCGTAGTAGTCAACAAACCAGTGTATCTTGACCTACTGGTCTGCCCTGTACCGGAATGTGTGCTGCTGATATGGCGGATCTGATCACGTTGAGGGGTCGATATAACCGACCCAACGAGACCAGGTGTGACAGATAGTGGAGTATCAGTAGGACAGGTGCGGTAAAGGGATCAGAATCCCTTTCCACACACCTATCACTCCAGGCCGACCAGGCAGAAATATAGCCTTTCCTGGTGCCTGGAGCCTATGAGTCCCATAGGAGGTCTTAGTTGATGCAATAGGTCGTGAACCGACCAGGAGCCCCTGAAATCGTCCAGGCAACTAGTGCAAGTTGTCCTTCCATGACAAGGGAGTGGGCTTCCCCTCAAGGTCCCGTCGGAAGTAGAGGGAAGGTAGGGAGTAGTAGAGGGTCTTCGCGAGACATCTCCAGGCGATCTGGGAAACCATGGTTGGCCCTGTCCGAGGGGTGTCATGAGCAGGAGCGATATCTTGTGGGTGCGTGTGTATCGAAGCACCCTTGCTATTGTTGAGAACGGCTGGGTTACGTTTGTAGGGGTTCATCCATCGCCTCGTATCCGAAGGAAGAGTCAAAGATCGTTTTGCCAATCCAAGTTTGTATGTGAAGTAATCACCTTCGAAATTCCGTCCTCCCTTCTGCTGACAGTGGTATCCAGTGGTCGTATGAGTGACCGGTGCGTACGTATCTCGTCGTTGAATGGCCCTGTAGTTTAGTGGGCCAGGGAATATCGCTTGTATGGAGGAGGAGAGGAGGAGAGGAATCCCACAATCCGGCGAGTATCCTGAGAGGAATCGCATCTAACCTTAGAGCGTGTCCGACAGCTATCCTTATAGAGGCGCTCTTTGGATCGACGCAGAACGTAGTTCTCCAAGCCGATGTCAAAACCGAGGAACTGGCCCGATTCAGATGGAGAAGCGATCTTTGTCTGTGTACTACAAAAAACCCATGGAGTCCCGAAAGTGAACGACAAATTGACTGTAAACGTAGCCTGGATTCGTAAAGAGTCAGCAAGTCTTCAGGGTATACAAGGCATCGCACGCCCAAATTTATGGATGTGTGCCCTCACTGGTTTCAGTAGCTTCGTGAGCACCACGGAGTCGTAAAACTGCCATGTTTGTCCTCACCATTGGAATCGGGGGAAGCTTCGGCAGTCCAGGGCAACGGGTACTGACAAGCGTGCGTCCTTGAGGTCCAGATATGTAAACCAGTCGTTACCGCTTAGGAGGTCCTGTAGAAGACGAATTTCCTCCAACTTGAAGCATTTGTATACCACGTAGGAGTTCCATTGATGTAGTTTCCTGGCTTCTTCTTGACCAGGAAATTTTTTTTGCTGAGGAAGCCTTCCCCTCCGGTGCATGTTGAATTGCGCCCTTCTTGAAGAGGGTGTGGATTTCCTTGTCCACGAGATGTTCCGCCAGCGTGCGCAATGGAGGTGAAGGGGCGACCTGAACGGCTGTGATAAAAAACTACAACTAGTCTTGTACTGTCTGGAGAACCCAGGTGACTTTGATAGTCGTCTCCCAAAACTGTAAAATAGAGACAGGTTGCCGGTCATAAAATTGGAAACAGTTAGTTATGTAGGTTGACTCACTAGTAGATGAAGCGGATGGGGTCCTTTGTGTAGTAGATGGGAGAAATATGAGGACTGTGTATACGATCTGGACCCTGTAGCCCAGAAGCGGCTGGTGGCTCGGTTCCGTTACCGACCAGCCCTCCCAAAAAACACCTTTCCCCGTAGGGGTGTGGAAGACTTGTTTTAGCGAGGTCTGGGTTTAATTTAGTGTGTGAATTAATACACGTGTTTCTTGAGTACTACAATGAACACTACGCCGAATAGTAGGCCTTGTGCTTTTGGGCCGAATTCTTGTCATTCCTAAGTCCAATAGTGTGTTGTCGTTGCGGACCAGTACAGATTTGCATCTGTCGGCGCATAGTGCGTCATTTGCATTGCCCAGGAGGCATATCGAGCATCGAGCCCATTCTCTGGAGGTGGTAGGGTTGAGTTGTGTACCCTGGTTGAGTGCCAGATCCGCAAAATAGAGTATCTTGCAATCAAGCCTGGTAAATCAAGTACTTTATCGCGTGTTGACCTCAGGCCATACTCCCCACCATTGCGGGGTTTCGTCCCGAGCATGCAATGAAGACTACCACAGTGTTGTTGAGCTCGGACGCAACTGCCACTTTGTCTGGTAGCAGTGGTCTGGGGTATTCGGTCTGGAGGCTTGCGCATACTTCCATCCCCAGAGGGTTGCGCAGCCAATAGTGTTCGTCCAGAAACGTTCCGTCTTCGGCTACTCTGGTTTAGTGCCACTATTGCTATCTCTGCCTCAGCCGCCGTCACAGAGTAAGGTTTCCCTAATGTACTTCGAGGAAGTGTGGGGTAGGTCTTGCCGTTCCACTTCCTCAGACGGTGAGCTGTCTTCGTGTCGCTCATCTACCATGTCCAAAGTACGTGGTGGGTAATAGCCTTATTTGTCGGAAGATTGTGGCAGACGGGGTTTGGATTCCCGGTGTTCCACCTATTTGGTCTGTTCGATGGGCGTTTTGCCCTTGACCTTAGTGGCAGGGGGGCTGGAGTCCTTCCCTTGCCGTTTTGGCTTGAAGGCTTGAGGGCCTGAGGTCTCCATCAAGCGGTGTGGGGCAGAGCTCATAATAGAACCTTCTCCACTGAGGCCGCTACTGCGGCGTTTATCATTTCCTAGAAGTCTTGGGAAGGTTGAGAGTGTCCATCATGACTCGTTCCTGTCCTGATGGGAGACAGTGGGAGTAGTGTGTGAGGGTCAGCACGTAGGGGTGCAAGACTCCTGGTAGAACTGGGGATCATTCAGGTAAAACGGTTTGAATTGCCTGCTTTAGTTTGTCTGAGAGTATGAACACTCGTGCCAAGTGTAGAGGGGTCACCTCTATTAGTTTAATCTGGCTACTGAGAGCCGCGGTGCAGGCACGATTGACTGGTAGTGGTGTTGGTCTGGCTAGCCGGGTTCACCACAATTGTACGCCAGAGCTGTATGCACGGTTTTTAACTATACAGGCTTATTATATAGGCGCGTGGGGCCTGTCTCCATAAGGTCTGCAGCTGCAGGACCCATGTCTATTCGGCTGGGTTCATCCCAGGTGGTGTGCCATGGTAACCCAGAGGACACCCATATTATAATTATTAGCACCTTACAAGCATTGCATGCATATCTGGGGGTCACCCCAGGTGGTGTGCCATGAAAAATTACCCAGAGGACACCCACGTTCAATATGTCCACTAGGCACAGTAAATATACATATATGTATCCCTGTGAAGGGTACACCGTAATACCCTCAGTTTCCTTAGTGATCCTGCCGTCAAATCGTATCCGGCATGGTACTGTTGCTTTAATGTAAAACTGACAGGCAGTGTTTAAACATCCATATATGTCTGTAGTAATCAGTGGTAAAGTTGAGGCGTAGGCCTACGTGCATATGATCAGGGTTCACCCCGGGTGGTGTGCCGTGGTAACCCAGAGGACACCCACATCAAAGGTAATGGTCTGTCAGTGACCTTGCATGCATATCTGGGGGGTCACCCCAGGTGGTGTGCCATGAAAAAATACCCAGAGGACACCCACATAAATTTTCACCGTCGGGTACAGTAATATAATATGACCCTCTGTAGGGTACAATAATGTAATATAATATGCCCTGTGTAGGGTACAGTAACGCAATATGCCCTTGGAAGGGTACCGTGAGATAGTTGATTCTGTATATGTCACAGTAATTGTTTGTATAGTAATAGTGGTATTGTATGGACTGAACCATAATACATTTAAATTGTTTGCATGCTCAACATAATCATCCAGTGTAAGGCACTAAGGGAGAGTTAAATCCATGTGGCATTCACAGCAGAGAAGAAAATGTTTTATTTCAACCAAGAACGAAAGTGCCTAGAGAGGGGGACCCCTGAAGGTGTTAATGCAGCTGCAGGGAGCGGTGATCGGGTGATTCCCGAACCGCCGCGTGAGCGGGGAAGGCGGCCGTCGTGGGTCTCGCGAGCTGCGAGATCCAAGATGGCCGCCAGCCGCGTGCAGCAGGCTTACTCGCTCGCTGCCGCGAGTAAGCAGAAAAACACGGCGGAAGAATGCAAAACCGCCCCGGCCACCCTCCACCTGTCCCCACACAGTCCCCTGAGTGTCAGCAGGGCAGGTCCACACAGCGAGCGCGGCACAGACAGCCGTGACGCCCACGGACCGCCCGACCAAAATTAGATAAAGTGGTAGTAACAGGGACAGGGAAGGGAGCAAGGAGCAGTAGATGGATAGATATTTAGTTACAAAGTGAAGGTAGAGTAAAAATATATAAATACATCAGAGAGGTAATAATACTCTGACCTGTTGTAGGCTGGAGCAGCAAATAAAGAGAAAGTGATGTCAGAGACAGGGCCTCTTATGGGCACCATATCTTTTCTCTGATTGGTTGTTACTGTTTCTATGCTGCTGGAGTTTTCAGTAAAGAAAGATATGCAAATATGAAGCCTCCTGTCATGTGGTAAAATTCTGGTCTTTTGTTTGGATCAGAATTTCATTTGAATGAAAAACCTAATTGGTCTTTCAGTCAACATTACTAATACTAAATAAAGATTACATAGTATTAGTAATTAAGGGAGATTAAAATCTCCCGTCTGCCCCTCCTCGCTACATCGCGAGTAGGGGCATGTCTACTCACCAGCCAGTGGCTGCTCACATTTGCAAAAAAAAAAAAAAAGACCCCCTCCTCTAATAAAGTGCCCTTTGGTGGAGCACCTATAAAAAATTATTAATGGGGGGCTTAATGTTAATTAAGACTCCCACTTGTGTACAGCGAGTGGGGGCCAATGAACTAAACATGGGATTATTTTTTTTCTGCATTTTTTGGGGGGCGCTCAGGTTTATTTTAGTATTTTGACAGGTGTTATGGATTTTTCTTTGGCCTTTTTTGGAGCTGAAGAAAGGTTTTAGAAAAAAGAAGACATCATATGGTAAGTATTTTTTTTTATTTTCTTAGTATTTATTTATAGGTATTTAGTTTTATTGTCTCCCCCTCACTATTTTCGGCCATGGGTGGGGGCCAGGGGGGAAGGGCCATAGCCTTCCCCCCATTGTCATTTAGGGAACAGGCTGCTCACTGTTTAGTAGATATGACCCTACACACGGCATAGCAAGTAGGGGCATTTGGGAGATTTTAATCTCCCTTATGCTAATATGGGGATCATATTGACTCCCATAGAGTGAAGATGGACATAGGGGTGGGGAGCACAGCAAAGGGGGGCAATTAGATGTAGTGGAGTCGGGAGGGGGTTAAAAAAAAAACAATTGGATTCAGCCATGACAGTGCCGCTTTAGGACAACATCTTGCAGGCAAACAAACATATAGTGGCAAACTGGATAGGGAAGCAGGCAGGCACCTATGTGCTCATTGGGGTTATGGTTACCAATGGAGCTACTAACATGACGAAAGTTCTGGAAGATGGTTCCTCTTTTGGTGTGAGCAGTTCTGCAGACATTCTACATCTTTTAATGAAGGCTTCAATTATGAAAGTCAACACAAGTGGCATCCATATTTGATTGTTGCTGGAGGAGTACAAGGTATTTATTTAACCGTGGGAAGGATAGCCAACTCTTGAAGTAAGGGAAAACGGCTTTCCACGTAACGTCTATGACAGGATATCAGTGCATAGTAGAACTTCACTTTAGACAAGTTAGAAAAAACTTGTAAACAGCATAGTATGCGGGGATATATCTGCAATTTTTTAATGGAGTGTTATCTACAGAAGTCATACTGATGTAAGTTGCAGGAATATATGGTATATTGTGACACCTCACAACTCTAGAGTCTCCATCTGTCAAACCTATAATACATGCACCACATAAGTAGGATCATCCACAAAGACATCAGCAAGATTCATGCACAAAAAAAGCCATTCATTTGCACATGCCCTTGAGGCCAAAAAATGCCCTCTCACACATCCCAAACAGCGATAACATCCAAGGTCAATCATTAGTCTTGTGTGTTGGTAGCAGTGGACCGGATATGTGTGATCCAGTAGATCCCTCAAGTTCTTGTTTCTTTGGAGGCACAACATTACCGGTTTCCTGAATTCCACCGGTAGGGATACATCATTAGCTAGGACTCTCCAATTATTGTTACTAAAGGTCCTAAATTCTAAAGATGCTGTGGTGTTCGTTGTGGGGAACAGCATTCATGTAGTATGAGCGTCTTTTTGGACCTCTCCAGTATCCTTGTGGCAGCTTTGTAATGCCTTTTCGTAATGTGTTCTCTTTATACCCCCTTTGTTTGAATTTATCCCACATAGTACCAATTTGAATTTGTGCTTTTCCCGGATCCGAATTGTTCCAAAACACCTGTACGACCTGAGAGTATGGTAGAGATTCTCGTAAGGCCCGAGGATGAAAGCTAGTTGCATGAAGGGGAGTATTGCGATCTGTTTTATAATAAAGAGTGTGGGCTTGTAACATTGACATCCTCTCCAGATGCTAGGCACAACATAAATCACCTTTCCAGGAATAGGAGAAGTGATGCTCGGTGGTCCTATGCCATAAGACTGAGCTTTTGCGACATGCCAGTGGATGCCTGCCGCTGCGGATCCACACTGTTTTGTAGCCCCACGTCTGTTAATGATGGTAGCGACGTTGATGTCACGCAGAGGATGCACACGTACGCTTTGGTGTCAATGGCCGGATACGGCCAATCGGATTCACAAGATGGATATTTAAACTCTCTAATTTCTTCTAATCATTTCCCTGTCATGTTTTCCCTTTGCTGGTTATCTGAGAGTGTGTTGATCTTATTTCTTTGGTTATGGACTTTGGCTTCGTTCTGACTTCCCTGAATTCTGGTATCCCTGACTATTGGCTATTCCTTGCAACTGTGTTTCGTTCTGTGTTCCTGACCTCGGCTAGTATTTCAACTATTCTCTGGTACGTTAAGTCCGGCCATTCTAAGGTCCGGTTAG